AGGGGTGGGGCCGGGCCTTATTTTGTTCCAATCAAATCAAGCCACGTATGCGGGAGCACGGATGGGCACACGGGAGGGGAGCAGGCAAGTCTCGTCCGTGGTAGGAGGGGTTGTACGAAAATAGCCTACGCTGGCATTTTGACCCTGCCACCCCTTCCTCTTCGTACTAGACCTGAATCATTTTCTTAGGCTGAGTTGTAACAACCTGAAAATGCCAACCAATCTCATCTGACCAGAGGGGCGAGAAATATAATTATATTAATTTGGTACTACGAAATGATTTGTTTAGTAATAAAAACAACATTCCTTCTATTTTTTTAACACCATATCTTTTTTAAAAGAATTTTAGGCTTTTGGGCGGGTTTAAAAATTGGAGCTCAAAGCCGTCATGACTTGACGGCCGGGCTTTGGGCCAACCCGCTGAGCCGAGCTGCCCATGCTTAGGTCTACCCTATACAAACTTTGAGCCTTAGTATAGTGGTTTAATCATCTTTCTTTCTTGCATATACAGATCATTTCACACCAAAGTTAAGCCTGATGAGGAATCAAAGAGGTCTTGAACTCAAAATTTTTTGGCTCTCATACTATATTGAGTATGCATGCATCAACACACTCCTACGAAAAAGGCCAGCAAGATATACACTCATACTTTGAAATCCAAGAGGACTAGGTGTACCTAGCTAGTTTCACACCAAGTAAATCATATATGTATAGTCATATGAACCTGTCAATGACTAGGCCAACACGACCACACCCTCATCCTTAACTAAGCAGATTCAAAAGACAACTTTTCACAGCATGAACACATGAATTAACTAGATATCCAATCTCTCTCACTAGATATCCTTGTCCCCCCATTTGTTGAGCACCACAACTTAAACAAATGCAATGCAATTTTTGTACTCCCAATCAGTGCTACTAAGTACTAACCCATCACCATTAACAACATAAATGCAACACATTGCATGCAAATACTTAGTAAACTTATATGAATTAATATGAATACACAAATGAGCTAGACTAGCACAAACACAAGCAACAAAAGGCATCTTCCTCCTCTCCTCCCTTATATATACCCCTGACCTGATCATCTCTTTTCAGCCTCCAGTCCATACTCCACGCCGAGCCGGCTCGATGGTTCCATCCATGGCGAGGAAGCGCAAGGCATCCGACGACGTCTCTGACACTGACATCGACGTCGGCATACCTCTATCACTAGCTTCGACGGACGCGTGGACGACGTCCACGGTTGCGGCTACGACGGCGGCGAGGCAGCAGCAGCGGGGCAGGAAGCGGTTCGTGGGCGTGCGGCAGCGGCCGTCCGGCCGGTGGGTGGCGGAGATCAAGGACACGATCCAGAAGATCCGCGTGTGGCTCGGCACCTTCGACACCGCCGAGGAGGCCGCCCGCGCCTACGACGAGGCCGCCTGCCTCCTCCGCGGCGCCAACACCCGCACCAACTTCTGGCCCCGCCCCTCGCCGCCTGCCGCCTTGCAGCCGCCGCCGCCGGCTATGCTGTCGATGCAGGCGCCGGCGTTGCCTTCCAAGGTCTCCAACCTCCTCCTCCTCCGCCTCAAGGCCCGCAACCAGCAGCTCCTCCTCAACGACGCCACGGCGCCGCAAGAGGCTGCGCTGCTACAGCAGCAGATGCAGAAGCAGATGTCCTCGTCGACGTCGTCGTGCCAAGAATCATACGTCCATGGCCGTGACGACGAGTACTGCTTCCAGGTAGACGACTTTTTGAGCGAGGAGTGCAACAACTCGCCAGAAATGGAGGAGGAAGAAGAAGAGGTGGAGGAAGAAGAAGAGGTGGAAGAGGAGGAGGAGCTGGACTTCCAGTTCATGGACAAGCCGACGGTGGCGGAAGACGAGGACGCCGGGATCTGCTCCCCGTTCGAGATGGTCGCCGCCGAGCTCGGCGGCTCGGCGCCGGTGGAGGCTAACGATGTGGACGGCGAGCCTGCGACGGCAGTGCAGGAGGCGATGAGGAGGATGGACTACGAGAGGAAGGTGTCCGCGTCGCTCTACGCGCTCAGCGGTGTGTCCGAGTGCCTCAGGATGCGCCTCGGCGGCGGCGCCTCCGCCGCGCGCGATCAGCTCTCCGGCCTGCGCGAGGCGTGCCGCA